GTGGTCTAACCGACCCATTTCCATTCCCGAAACCGGACATCCCGCCCTTTCCATCGACGACGATGGCAAAAACTATGTCATTTGGGATATTGCCACGGGTATTCCTCTGCGCTCCTTCGCCAACCTTGATCTCCCAAAGGCCGAAGAGGGCAAGCCTGCGCCAAAGCTGCAGTGGCCTGCTTTCAAGTGGTCTGCTGACGACAAGTATGTTGCTCGATTGAACCAGGGCCAATCTATCTCTGTATACGAGCTGCCACGCATGAATTTGCTGGACAAGACTAGCATCAAAATTGAAGGCGTCATGGACTTTGACTGGGCACCTGCTACGGTCCAAAGAGAAGGTGTCAAGAACTACGAACAACTCTTCTGCTTCTGGACTCCGGAAATCGGCAGTAATCCTGCCAAGGTCGGCTTGATGAGCATTCCCTCCAAGGAAATTGTTAGATCGCTCAACCTCTTCAGCGTCAGTGACGCCAAGCTGCATTGGCAGTCGGAAGCCGCCTACCTTTGCGTCAAAGTCGACAGACACTCCAAGTCGAAGAAATCACAAGCCACCACATTGGAGATTTTCCGAATCAAGGAGAAGGGCGTCCCTGTCGAAGTTGTTGACACCATCAAGGACACTGTCATCAACTTTGCCTGGGAGCCAAAAGGTGACAGGTTCGCCATCATCACCACCACCGAACCAGTCGGCGTCACGGCTGTGCCCCCCAAAACTGCCGTCTCATTCTTCTGCCCCGAGAAAGTCAAGGGACCCATTGCGGGCAACTTCAAGCACCTCCGAACACTGGACAAGAAGAACAGCAACGCCATCTACTGGTCACCGCGCGGACGATTCGTTGTCATTGCTACTATCCACAACCAGCAGAGCTCCGACCTGGACTTCTTTGATCTCGACTTTGAGGGCGACAAACCCGAGTCTGACAAAGACCTGACCGCCAACCTACAGCTGATGAACACTGCTGATCACTATGGTGTTACCGATGTTGAGTGGGATCCATCTGGCCGATTTGTCGCCACCTGGGCATCAGTATGGAAGCATGCCGTAAGTTGACACGACGTATTGTACCGACGCGTTGGAATGCAAATATGAAACTAACTTTGGTGCCATTTAGATGGAGAACGGCTACCACATTTACGACTTCAAGGGCGAGGCCCTGCGGGAAGAGCCCATTGACAAGTTTAAGCAATTCCAGTGGCGACCGCGACCCCCGACGCTGTTGACCAAGGAGGAGCAGAAACAGGTCCGCAAGAACCTGCGCGAATACAGCCGAGTATTCGAGCAGGAAGATGCCGATCGCGGCGCCTCGGCAGACCTTGCTGTGGTCGAGGCCCGACGACGCATGCTCGAAGAGTGGTACGCCTGGCGCGCCGATGTCGAGGAGGAAATTTACGAGGAGCGTGCCGCGCTCGGCTTGCCGCAGGATCCTCACGCTGCGCTACTAGAGTCCAAGACCAAGGCAATGGGCATTGACAGCGCAGACCAGGACCAGGTCATTGAGGAGATTGTGGAGGATGTCTTGGAGGAGAGCGAGGAGGTTCTGGCATAGGTGTGCGATTGGGCAAACGGCGAATGAGAGCATCAAATGTTGGACGACATATACAACAATGTTCTGAAGGCTCGCATGGAGAGCAGGTGCATTTGCTTGTACTGGTAAAACAAAAATATTGGTTCAGAGTCTGGGCACTTTATAATGAACTTTCTTTTCACTGTTTAGGTCACATGGGTTCTGTTCTGGGGGTGTTTGTGATTTACATGACTTGGTAACTGGAAGCAGAGCGTACAGCCGCATACCTAGCAAGCCGTGTCGCCACCTCTTGTTCATCTTATTCTGGAAGCAAGCTGCTTGACGTGCCAGTCAATATGCTTTATTGAGAGCAAAGAACACTCAGTCTTAGACCCTACAGAGTACGGTGTTTCAACACACAAGACGAGCCCAGTGGGACATTTCTGATGTCCTGTCACGCCACCAAACAGCCGCGCCAATATAAAGCCAAGGAGTGTCCACGAAAGACTCTTGGGAAAAAAGGTGGTGAGGCGGAAGAGCGGGCGGGACGAAGCGAGCCAGTTAGAAGAGGCAATCCCAAGAGTGTGGGTGGCAGTGGCTTTGGTACTCCGTAGTGTTACGGAGTACTGGTATGCATGTGCTCACAATACAACCATCGTTTTCCTTGGCCACTCGTGACATGTATAGGGTAGGGTAATAGGCAGGGGGTTAGACACGAATGCTACTTCGTGGCAACGTACCATTATGTATATGAAAGAGAGAAGCCATCAAGAGAATTACAGGGGAGTGTTAAGAGACCTAAAAACTCATAAAATAGAAGTACCTTTGCACCCCTAGCCCCGACTTACGTTTCTTAAAGTAATAGTAGATCTATTTGGCGTGTACTAAGCACTCCAAAGTACAGTGTTACTAGATGCCCTCCATCTAGCCCGTGTTTTTAATTGATTTTTTTTTATTAAATAATTTCAAAAAAAAAAGTACCAAGTACTCCCCTGCTTTATACTGGATGACGAATAGCTAGTAGATACCTAGGTACCTAGGTAGATACCCTGTATATACAGGCATCACTGCCGGGACTCGTGGGCGGTGGCCGTTTGATCTTTGGATAGGCGCATCAATATTGCAAGCGATGCTTGGCTTGGTTTTGGAGTACCGAGTCGTGCGAGTGCAGCAAAATGACTGCTGTCGCTGGGCTGGAGGTAGCGCCGACACCGCCGCTCTCCACAACGCTAGTATTACAAGGGCAATGGTATCTTCAGCCCCCTGTTCGCTTGCCGGGTGAAACGGCGCAACCATGTTTTGCAAAGCTGCCGGTCCTCAAGACAGGCCTGATTGAGCTCGCGCTTAAATCATGCGGGTGCCTCACCTTGAGCTTGGGTACCCTGGCGAAACCAAACGTAATGCCTGCTTGACAAACGCTTGTCAATATTGGTCTGGCTTGGTGGCCATACATACTCTCACGCGCATGCCGTCGGCGCCCACAGACCATATGTGTCCATGTATCTCACAGTAAATTAGTGAGTGCGTCCGCACGCACAGAAATTAAATAGCACGTGAATTTGAGTCTTTTGTCATGCATCCATCGAAGCATGTCAATGGTGCCAAGTTTATCAGACAATTACTACTCGGGAATGAGTCGATATGTGGAGCACATTCATTGGTCAAGTTTCGACAGCCAAGACCGCGAGAAAATATTGTTTGCAGCATCAATTAATTGAGTGTGCATGGTACCCGTCGTATATAATCGGCAACAGGGGCTTGCTTCCTGCTTCCGGCTTCCTTTCCCTGCTCGTTGTCCAATCCCACCTTTCCGACGACGGCGTACTTCGTATATACTAGGCAGTTATCCCATAATACAGGTTGATTTTTCTCGCCACATCACTACGAGCAGACCAGCGCTTTTCTTTTTTCTTTTTTTATAAATAAAATTCAGAAGCGCACATATGTATGTGTGTGTGGTCCTGTCTCGAAGAGGGATGGCCTGAACCACGTCTGATAGGAAAGAGTGCTATGAGGACAATCACCAAGGTGCCCTGGTACCGGTAAGGGACGAAAAGCGGTCATTTTGTTGTTTGCTTCATTCTCAGCCGGAAAGAATTTGCGCTGGTATGGATACAAGCAGGGGGTGGTTGAGTCACGCAGGATCTTGACTTAGCCTTCTGACGCAGCGGTTGTACGGAGCATGTGTTATTTATTAACTATACAACCACAGTTAGCTATCCAGTGCCTTCTTCCTCCGTAGATAAGGAGAAGCTAGGGTGAAAATGCTAAATACTCGCTCGACAACATCCCGTCCGATATCCCCTGGTCGTATTGAATGGCATGAAAGCATCGGCAATGTGTTTGCTTGGTCTTGGCCACTCCGTAGAGGGGCTGGCTCGGCGTTGAGCGAGATTGAGCAAGCATTCGGGGGTTCGATGTAGGATAATGGCATGTAGGGTTGGTCGGCAATTGTATAGAGTGCAGTGCAGAGTCATTCGACCAGCACCGGTTGGCTGGAGTGACAAAGCTTGATGGTCTAAAGACAGGAGCGACGAGAAGACGTACGATGATCTAGGCTCAAGTTCTGGTCTCAAGTGGTGGTGGCCTCGAGTGCTTGCCTCATTCTTGCCCAACCAGTCATTAATCGACGACGACACGGCAGGAACGCCGGAGTTACTATTTGAGACAGGAGATGATACAGTACATGATAGCACAGTGCACACAGTTGCTACAGGCTCCAAGTTGCTAATATCTACTAGGTACGGAGCCCCCGTGCTTGAAAAGCAAAAGGGTTCAGACAAGCATTGGTGAGTCGTTTCTCGCACTCCAGCTGCGCCATCCCGATGCATGTTTCGACTTCCTGAAAAATCCTCCCTACTCTGCGGCAAAGCCTTGTCCATCTCGGAATCAGACAAGCTTGACGCTGGTATAGGGACCATGAAGTATGAATTATATCATTACTTAAGTAGATAGCATTATTTGACGAATACTCGGCATAGTTTGTCCAGATGCCGCCGAAATCGCCGCGGCGGCGCTGCGGCGCTACGTAAGTGCAATTGTTGCATGCACGGTGTGTGGAGTGTACAGTACAGTCTAGCACTGTATTTCTCCACAGAACCTTCTCAGCAGTCCGGGTTAGCGTGGAACCGTGGGACAAGGAGGGCAAGAGCGACCACCAGACCCAAGAGACCCAACACCCTCATTGATTCGCCCAGCCTTCCTTCGATTATGCTTTCTCGTATTTCCCAACCACATAACGCATCCATCCTCCCGACCAAAGCTTCTCCCTCTTCTTCGACATCGTCGCCAGCATACACCACATATATTCGCGTATACATACACGAAAAAAAAGGACACACGAAACCAAGTACTGGGCCTCCGGAAGGGATGGCCTCACTACCGTCGGCGTTGTAAATGCTTTCACCATCAACATTGGTAGAAGCACGGCTCCTCCATCATCGCCTGCAGCTGTCTTCAATGCCACTGACTTAACCGCATTCTCCCCTCAGCATGCTGCGACGGCCCCCAATCGACGGGCGGGGGTCCTCGCAACAGCAGAAATTATTTCTCGCTTTCGCCGTGATACTTGTGCCTTGGTTCCAGCTCGCCGACGCTCAACCGCGGCAAGCCGCTCATTCAATCATCTCACCACATGTTGCCCCCGCTGCTGGCGTTGACGTGGATGTAGACGGTAGCTACAAAGACCGAAAAAAGCGCTCCGGCGAAGATCATCCCGCAGCTTTCGCCGCTGCCGCTGCCGCTCGAAATGACCCCGCTCCTTGGGGAGCTACACCCATCAGCGCAGCTACGATAGAGACACACAGCAGTGGTGATCACAAGAGATCAGCTTTGCAGAAACAATCCGATTACCAGCAGGAGGAGCAACATCAGCCGCAAGCTGGACGCAGCTCCAAAAACACACCCCGCAACCCTCGTCCCGATGACTACGTACACAATCATAAGAAGAAACAAACTTCAACCGATGCGAGCGCCTTTGCAACAACTTTGGCTCCGGATAACTCCGTCCGAGCACCATCTCCTCTACGACGCCAACCGTCTGGGTTAACCTCGCCGCAATATGCGCGGAGTCTGGAGGACTGGGAAGTGGAAGACTTTGTTCTTCTGGCGACCGTCGATGGAGACCTCTATGCTGCTGACCGTAAAACCGGCAAACAACTCTGGAGTCTCTTGGTCGACCAACCAATGGTCGAAACTATTCACTACCGAGGCAACAGTTCTGAACTCGATGACGACTACAGTCCAGTGGACCACTACGTCTGGGCTATTGAGCCTAATCAAGATGGCAGCGTCTATGTATGGATTCCCGAACCAAACGCTCGACCACGATGGACCGGCTTCACTATGAAGGAGCTGGTAGAAGTACTATCCCCCTTTGCCGGAAATGAACCGGAACCTGCCGTTGTCTATGTTGGTGATAAGAGAACAACAATGGTTACTCTCGATGCCGCCACAGGACGTGTCATCAAGTGGTTCGGCACTGGAGGATCTCATGTCAATCAGGCTGAAAGTTGTCTGAAGCCAAATGCATTGTACGACAGGGATGCGGAAGAATGCAGCACCACGGGCACTATTACCCTCGGCAGAACCGAGTATACAGTCGGCATTGAGAGGCGGGACGGAAAGCCAATTGCCACTCTGAAATATGCCGAATGGACTCCTAACAACCGTGATAAAGATCTCTTTTACCAGTATCGCGTATCAAAGGACAATCGATACATCTCAACACAACATGATGGCAAAGTATACTCCTTTGACTATGCACGCTCCGACTCGAACGCTGTCCCAGCTCGCCTCTTCAGTCAAAAATTTGAGGCTCCCGTGGCTCGTGTATTCGACGTTTGCCGTCCCTGGGATGCCACGCCGGATAGCAATCCGGATCTGATTCTCCTATCTCAGCCAATAATGCCATCGCCCGATGACCACACATCAAACAGTATTTTCCTTAACCGTACCGCAACCGGTGGCTGGTATGCGCTCAGTGGCCGTGCCTACCCTCTCATTGACGCCGCCCCCGTCGCCCCAGCTTCCCGACCCAATGGGTGGGAGAAAATGGCCTCGTGGGATAGCATGACGGAAACTAAACTATCCAGGTTGATCGGCACCCACTCACTAGGTACCCAACAAAAGGTTCAGCAATTTCCTACATTGCCTGACCGGCCAGCAACGGGTGATGATAGAGAAGACCCAGACAATCAGTCTGTCCCCCAACATGTCCCGGCCGAAATCGAGGAACCCACCATTGTGGATAAGGTTAAGAGTATTCCACAAAGTGCCGCGACTAGCGTCTACGATTTTTTCAGTAACCCTGTCCTGATCATTTTCCTTATTGGTCTTTTGGTCTACAACAGGAAGACTTTTGCCAGAGCATATCAACTGTGGCTCAACGGAAGCAGCCCTAGGGTTGCATTTTCATACTTGCTACCGGGAGCAACGCCTGATGACAAACTTGCGACGCAGAGTACTGATGTATCGGAACCCAATGGAAAGCAATCGCCAAAACCAGCCACTGCAGAGGACAATTCAAGTGACGCTAATCTGCCTGAATTGGATGCCAAGGCTGGGGATTGTAGCCCCCGCGATGATGATGTTGCAAAACCTGATAATGAAAGCACCACCGACACCGATTCGACGCCCAAGTCTGGTGACCCATCATCAAAGTTGGGTGCTAGTAAAGATAAGTTAGCTGATGGTCCTGACAACAACACAGTTGCCGGTGGTACAGGCTCAGAAGTTAAAAAGAGAAAAGCTCATCGTGGGCGTCGAGGTGGTGTGAAGCATCGGAAGGGTAGGCCTCGGGACAGTTCGCAATCCCGAGGGGATGAACCACCGAATGCCACCGTGGAAGAGGCCGTTAGCAATGCCAAGAAGCTAGGAGACCGACCCACCTGGGAACCTGATGTCTTGACAGTCGCCAACGATATGCAAGCCGTGTCCGGTCCTGTTGTCAGAATGGGAAACATTGAAGTCAATCTCGAAGAACAGCTTGGAACAGGTAGCAATGGTACGCTCGTGTTCGCTGGAAAGTTTGATGGGCGTGATGTGGCCGTCAAGCGAATGTTGATTCAGTTTTACGATATTGCATCCCAGGAGACGAGGCTTCTGCGAGAAAGTGACGATCATCCAAATGGTTAGTTTCATGAAGGTTACACTAACTTTTGCAGTTTTATTTGGTTGCTAACGGGTTTCCAGTAATTCGCTATTACTCCCAGCAAACCCAAGGTAGCTTTCTCTTCATCGCCTTGGAACGCTGTGCTGCCTCATTAGCAGAGATTGTGGAAAGACCGCATGCATTCCATGAGTTAGCAAATGCTGGGAAAGTGGATTTGCCAGGGGTCTTGTATCAAATCACCAATGGAATCAGCCACTTGCATAATCTCCGCATTGTTCACAGAGATCTGAAGCCTCAAAATATTCTTGTCAATATGGGCAAGAACGGCAAACCACGGCTTCTAGTTTCTGACTTTGGTCTGTGTAAGAAATTGGAGAGTGAACAGTCGTCCTTTGGTGCCACGACTGGCAGGGCAGCTGGAACGTCTGGCTGGCGAGCTCCCGAACTCTTACTGGATGACGACGGCCGCGACCTCAACCTGATGGAAGCTAGCACTCATAGCGGATCTGGCTCTGTGCTTGTTCAGGACGGCACTATGCCTCACCACCGAAGGGCCACGCGCGCCATTGACATTTTTTCCCTAGGTCTTGTCTTCTTCTATGTCCTGACCAATGGTTCCCATCCGTTTGACTGCGGTGACAGGTACATGAGGGAGGTCAACATCAGGAAGAACAACTACAACCTACAGTTGCTGGATGTTCTGGGCGACTTTGCGTTCGAGGCAAAGGATCTGATCATGTCGATGCTCAACGCCAACCCCAAGCAGCGGCCAACGGCAACCGAGATCATGTGTCATCCGTTCTTTTGGTCGCCTAAGAAGCGACTTTCTTTCCTTTGTGACGTGTCGGATCATTTTGAAAAGGAGCCCCGTGATCCTCCATCCACAGCTCTACAAGAGCTCGAGCGTCATGCTCCCGAGATCACAAGAGGCGACTTCTTGCGCTCTCTTCCTCGAGAGTTTGTCGATTCTCTCGGCAAGCAGCGCAAGTACACGGGCTCTCGGCTCCTGGATCTTCTGCGGGCGCTCCGCAACAAGCGCAATCACTACGAAGACATGCCCGACTCTTTGAAGCGCCAGGTCGGACCTCTCCCGGAGGGGTATCTGAGTTTTTGGACGACGCGATTCCCGCAGTTGCTGTTGGTGTGCTGGAACGTGGTGTACAATGTGCAGTGGGAGGAGACTGACCGGTTTAGAGAGTATTATGAGCCTGCTGGACTGTAATTTCATTTAGTATATATAGTATGCCATGTTTTATGGTGTTTTTATAGTTATGTGGTTGAATGCGCGCAAAGTGTATCGTCTTGATCGAATGCTCTTGTGCCTCGACTCGTTAAAGATTTTGTCACTTGAAGTCGGCCACCATTTCGTTACCCTTTGTTTATTTTACCAATGGACTTTGCGGTGACGCTTGTCCCTACGAGTGCTATTCACATAGTCTAGTACCTATCACGAAGGTGAGTATCAAACAAATCCCAAGAAGTGGCGTCGACGCAGCCGGCGCAAGTGTTCTCCGTGAGCCAGATTCGCACAGAACACCAGAGGATCTTGGATGCACGTATGTTAAACTACAATAACGGCGCTAAATCACAAGGCATTTATTTCCACGCCAACGCTTCCCACGATTTTCTGCAACCGCTACTCCAAACGCCCCCGACTATCCCCACTGCACGAGAACCTTCTTGCCCTTCTTGTTCCCCTTTTTGGAGGTGGCCGCGTCGTGATCTTCCTCGGCGGCGGGTGTATTTGCGGCGGACGAACTAGCACCCCACGTGAAGTTGGACTCGGCGTGTCCGTAGTCGCGACGGACGCCGCGGCCGGATCCGTATCCGAAGATGGTAGTGGTTGGTTTGGGGGCGGCGGGAAGAGATGGGAAGGCTTCTTGGCTGCGGGAGATGGTGGATCGCGGTTGGGCGGGCTGGGAGGAGGAAGAAGAGGATGTCCATGTTGGGCGGGAGGTAGATGCTGACGTTGACACTGACGCTGATGACGATGCTGGTGGGAGCGAGGGGAAGGCGGATGATGATGGTGGTGGTCGCTGAACGGCGGGAGACGATATCCAACCTGGCGTGGCCTTGATGGATGTCGGCGGAGGGCCGCCGGGG